GAGCGCGTCGCTGAAAACAAGGAATTAAAAAATTAGGGCAGTGTTAACACAGAATCAGCGAAAAAGAAGAGTGGAACCACAGTGCCAGTAAAATGCCAAAGGTATTAATTTTTCAAGGCTTGTCAAGAGTAGTGTTATCCGTGATTCAGTTACAGAACGATTGCTCCTAATCTCCTCAAGGAAAAGCAGTACGCTCGTTTTCCAAGGAATTGCTCCGCTTCGAATGATCACTCGACAATATCTTACTGTATTCTTGACTGAGCAAGCGTGCTTTGGCTTTAGCGAATGGTTGCCTTTTGCCAGGGATTGAGAATCCAAGGACTGAGGTATGAATTCATAGTGAAGGTCAACTTTGCTTTTTTGTTGATATCTTATTATGTCATAAATGGTTTGGTTGCAGTGATTTGTGAGACCCAAGTATATGTTTGTTAGAACAGAAACTTTTAGGAAAAAAATATCCGAAATTTTTTCCCATACCAAATAATAGGCTTTGAATTTATTTGTGAAAATGCAACAGAGTCGAAACTGGCAGCCCTAGCACGTTTAAATAAATGGCGTAAAGAAAAATTAGAAATGGACTAGTTATGAAACAACAGCTGGCCAAATTAAAGTAAGTATCTCTTAAGCCTCTCATAACTTTGTAAACAAATTTCTTGAACTAATGTAGAGGAACAAATGAGTAAAAAGCTTGGATTTCATCCCCTAGCTGCAAACACAGACAGAGTAATGGATGCGCGTAGAGGTAGGGAATCGTTAGTACGGTCCTTCGTTCACTTTGTGGAAAGCAAACTTATTTATTTTCAAAAAAGTGAGTCAAACTGCGCTTTAAACTATTACCCTCTTTGCTAATAAAATTTCCCAATTTCGTTCTCTCTGCTGTATTTTCATTTCTTCCAGTGTTTTTTTATTTGCTTCACTTTCCACCTTGCGCATTTTTGAAGCGCGATTCGCTGCTTCAACTTCATTCCGCGGTATTTGTATTTGTAAGGTGGAATTCCCCTTTAGGTCTGAAACAGATATTTATTTTACACAGTCTTACAAGTTTCTACTGTTTGTTTGCTTACTTCAGTACTTGATCAATGTAATAATAAGTGACACAGTCAACACTTTAGTTTTTTCTCTTTTATTTGCCAGGCGAGTTTTTCAGCTGGTCACCCTAATGTTAGCAATTACTTATCAAGAATGCCAAACGCTTATCAATAATTTATTTAGTTAGCATCATATTACATGCATTTCACTTCAACGGTAAAGACTGTTCACTAACACGCAATTTTTGGTGCATTGCTTTTTTTTTAAAACCCGGGATTTTGGTATGTTACACGCGCCAGAAAGTCTGAAAGATTACTGTAGAACCATATTTCTTGCTGTTGGAGCGTTTAGGACCGCCCCCAACAACAGCTCTAAAAGGTGTACCTTCCACATCCATTCGCCAATGCTCGCTGCTGTTGTTACGGTAGAAGATTGATTCAAAATCTGCGTATTTTCAGTTATCTGCCCATATATTGCACACAACATGTATATATGTACCGCCAGCAGCTTTTTCCATAAAGAGTGATTTTTTACTCCGCTTCGTAACCAAAAAGTAAAAAATGCCGAAAATGGACTAATTTTGCATTAAATTTTTGCAATAAATCATGTGATTTTGCACCAAACTCGCAGATCGCTAATAACAGGAATAACCCCTGCACTGTAGCCAAACATTTGGGCTCATATTGGCCGTGCTTTGGCCTCTTCCGGCACGTAGGAGGAAGGGCGTCGGATGGGATGAGTGTGTTACATTATAGAGCCGCATGGACCTCCAGGTACTTGATTACCAGTTTCTGCATGAAGCTCCGTCGTTTTTCCGATAATTGCTCGTTTTTTGAAAAAACGAAAAATGCAAACCTTTGAAAATGCAAAAATTTCAGATCTCCACTAGAAAGTGGAAATGTTACTAGAGCGGTCGTTCGTCAAAAAATTCGAATGTGTAAATGGAATGTATGCTGGGAGAGGATGAGGGTGGCCGTTCGCTGCAAAATGCATTCGTTTCCGAGTTTGCGGTATAGTTTAGTATTTCTCATAATCATCTGCAGGGGATTTCACCTACAAGCAGAATTAAGACCGCGTGAAAGTAGAATATTCCAGTTAAGTTTCAGCCTCGCAATTTATCCAGTAAACGAAATAGCCAATTCGCCACAAATATCTTTGAAATGCCTTAACTCGTAGCGCAGGCGCAAATCGCATACGATTTCCCATACGGATTACGAATATTCTGACAAAATTTTAGCCATTGTTCTGTAGCTAACTTTCGAGTTAGCACTGTGCCAAGCGCAACTTTGACGTTATCGTAAGCGGCACTCAGGCGCGCACGATGGTTGAATTTAAAATCTTTAGCTCTCACATGCACAGAGAACTTCCCACCCCCTCGCACGCTGGGCCCAGACTTGCGTGAGGGTTGGTACCGCGGTCCTGGGATAGCACTTGGCCGGGAAAGCCACCGGCAAAATTTTGGCGCCGGAGCTTGCTTGGGTGCCGAGCTGAAATATCCGGAGAGACGCGCATGCATGCACGCACGCGCGCACGCACAAACACACACACACATACAGACCGGGATCGTTACAGTATGCGTTTTTGCTGCGCAGTGTCATAGTAGCGCTATAGCGCTGCTACAGCTAGCAAAAACGGATATTGTCGAGAGGCTGTCTGTATGTGTATATTCGGAAAGCGAGTGCATTTTGTCACCCACCTTCATCTCAGCAACCAGGAAAGCTGGGAGGCTGGAATTTTGGATATATGTTCCTACCCTGTGTGTCACCCTCCCGTTTTCAGGTCTTTCTCCATATACACCTAGACCCCGCGTACGGGACCCCCAAATAAATATGTTGGTGGGGAACGATTTTGCGAACCAGGCAACGTAGAAAGCTGAAACTCTGTAGGGATATTCCCTATGCACGTGCGAACTAAAGATTTTAAACTCAGCCGTCGAGCACCTCAATCACAGCTCAAGCAGCTCCTCAGCCCAAAAATCGTTAAGAAATCCATCGCAATCCGGCCCCGAACCTTAATCGTACATGTAAATGAACATTAGTTAATTTGCATACATGAATTTTTTTGACAAACGATCGCTCGATCAATACTTTCACTTTTTATGAACTGGAAATTTGCATTTTTTCAAAAAATCTGTATTTGTCATTTTTTCGGGAAGCTAGCATTTGCTGAAAAACGACCGGACTCCATGCAAAAAACCGGTAATCATACACCTGGATGTCCTTGCGGCTTTATAATGCGCCACCTTATCACAACTGAGGTCCTTCCTCCTGCATGCCGGAATGGGCCAAAGCACGGCCAATATGAGCCCAAGTGTTAGACTACAGCATAGGGATCGTTCTTGCTAACTGCGATCTGTGACTTTAGTGCAAAAACGCATGATCGCACTAGAGAGCCTGGTGCGTTCCAGCTGGGTTGCATTTGCATATAAGCGAAAACGCATAAAAAGTAGTGAATCCGAGGTCTGCTACATTCCTACACATGCTGTAAAAATAGAAAAGAGTAATGAAAATGCGTTTATATGGCGAAGAAACGCCAAATTTTAGGAGAATTTTGGATGCCGCACGCCTTTGTTATTTTGTGATAAAAATGGCCCGCTCTATGCTTTACTGTTTTTGGGAACTTGTGTTATCGATACATTTTAATGGTTTTTCCGGTAAACAGCATTGCTATTAGCAAGTTCAGCTCACAAATTACTCATGGAAAATTGAATTACTTATATATCTGTGTATCCCCTTAACCTACACTTATGTTGCATTTGTTGTCAGCAATTTGCTAAGTAAATTTGTTAATTAATTTATTAAATAAATTATCGGCAAACATTAAGATACATAAATTACAAGCAATGTAGGAGCAGTGAATTCTAGGAAATGCACGAATATAGATGTAATTTAAATTTTGTATCTTTTGACAAAAATGGAACACCTTTCACCTTCTCACTTCCTTTTTTCTGCTCAGCTGATCTTTTTTTGTTCTTTTGAACATGATTCCTTCTCTGTGGACAAATTTTTAATCCTCCGTCCTAAATGCCTTTTTAAAACAGAACTTCACGCGTCTGAAATTAATTTTTTGAGCTTTTCTTCCAACAGCTGATCCTGATGCGGCTTGAATAATTTAAACGTCTTACTGCAACATACCTCGCATCATTCGCCTGTAGGATTCTAACAATGTTGAAGGGGAAATACCGTATTTCCGAGCAATTTTTGGTATGAACTCAGCACCTTCATTAAGTACATCGGAAAGAGCAGCTGCCAGCTCCTCCGACAACCGTTTCGGTGTCCAGCTGCGACGTTTGTTATCAGACGATCTCAGCTAAAAAAATGAAATTTTATTAAATTCTGTTGCTAATAGAACTGATACCCCTTTATCTGTTTCCGCAGCTGAGCGTAAATCTAACCCGGTGATTGTATTGAAGC